ATCCCAAAAATCCCTCAAGCCCCAATTAAACCCCAATTGGGCAAGAATGACATATATTGAATCTATTTAATTTTTTAGTTTCCCTCTTACAATAGAAATATAATTTCTTTAATATTTCAAGTCTTAAATATCCTAAAGAAAAATAAAGAGAGATATAGTATTCCAGTTGTTTTGCTCTTTTCATTAGTTTGTTCATGCCATTTGTGTGATCTACTTAGTATCATTTATTTTGTTATTAATATTGTTATATATACCAATCAATATTACAATATATATTTGTTTTTTTTTATAATTTTTTTTAAAAAAAATAATAATGTTTTAAATTATAATAATAAAAAAATTATTATTATTATTATTATATATTTTTAAAAATTCTTTTAAAAAAAATTTTTTTTAAAAAAAATCACAAATATATTAACAGTATTATATTATATTTTTTCTAAAAATATAGTTTTTGTTAGTAAAGATAAAATCAATTTTTTTTATTCTTAAATAAATTATTTTGAATAATAATTTAAATACATTATTAAAACTATTGTCTAAATCTTTTAGTAACAAAAAAATTGAATAATATTTTTTATATAATTAAAAGATAGACTAATAAAATATAATAATAATATTGATATATAAAGTATTTATTTTTGAATAAAAAATAAAAAATTTATATTCTTTATTCTTTCTTATAAATTTGACTTGTAATATAATAATATCTAATTTTAATACTTTACAAAAACAAATAATTAATACTAATTGAGAATGTTTCAAATCAGATAAAAATTATTAAGAAGATATAAAAAGTTTAAATCAATTATAAACTTATATAAAAATTATAATAGTATATAAATAATGATTTTTTAAAAAAATTTCAAATAGTTTTTTTTTTAATTATTTATTTTATAATATATACATAAGTTTTAAAAAGGTTTTTACAATTTTATAAGTATATATTTTTTAAATATAATAATATATATTTTTTATTTTTTTAATTTTTAATAGATTTAATTAAATTAATGAAATATATAATCTGATTCAAAAAAAATCAAATTTAAATTTTTCTTATAATTGAATAAATAATAATTTAAATTAAATAAAATTTCTAATATATATTGTTTATAATAAAAAAAACTATATTAAAGTTTTATCAATTTAAAATTGAAAAAAAAATTTTTTTAATAATTATAAATTTTAAATATAAATTTGATTTGAAAAATAAATTTTTATAATAATAAATTTTTTTTTAAAAAAATTTCTTATAAAAAAATTATTAAATATTTCTTATCATATATAAATAAAAATATTAAAAATATGTATTTTATTTTTTATTTTATAAAATTAATTTTCAAAAAAATTTCAAATTCTCTAATGAATTCATATAAAATTTTAATTAAATTATCAAATTCTCTAATGAATTCATATAAAATTTTAATTAAATTATCAAATAAATCAAAATTTTTTTAATATTAAAAATTGATTTATTATAAAATATATTCTTATTAACAAATTTATCTATTGAGATAATTTTAATAATTTTTCATTAATAATAAATTTAAAAAAAATTTTTTTTGAAATATTATTATATAATAATACTATTGTTATTTTTAAAAACATTTTCAAGTCAATTTAATTTTTGTTAAATTAGATTGTTGGTTTCATAAACTATTAAATAAATATTAATTATTAAAAAAGATAAAATCAATTTTGGTTTTTGAGATTAAATAAAAATTTTTGAAAAATAAATTGATATAAATATGATACTGTATGTCAAATAAAAATAGTTGATAAGATTTGATTAAACAAGTAAAAAATCCAATAACTTTTGCTTAAACATATTTTTAAAAAAATAAATTTGGAATACTAAAAAATAATATAAAAACAAAGTTGTTAATATTTTAAAAAATAAAAAATAAAATAAATTAATATAAATCTTATTTTATTCAATTAAAAAGCAAAATTTTAAACATATGGGCAATTATTTTTGAAGGCGACGAAAATGCTAGATATGATTTTTTCAGACCCAGCTTTTAAACAATACATTATATAGTATATATTTTAGGATCACGCCGGTCCGCCTTCGAAAATAATTACCCATATTGAAAATTCGATTAGATATTCTATTTCAATATAACAATAATTCTTAAGTCTTTCTATTTCCAAGCTTATGGCATAGATAACATATAATATAATAATTAAAAAATATTTTTTCAAAGAAAATTAAAGTAAAAAAAATTTTAAAGAATTAATAGTAAACAAATGCAAGTTTTTTTTTTTATTTACTGTATTATATTATTGAATTTTTTTACTCAATAAAAAAATAAGTATCTTGATTATTTTTATATCATTAATAAATCAATCAATTTATGATTTTGATTATTTATTTTCATCAAATTTTAATTTAAATCTTATACACAAATTAAAATAAAATAAAGAGAATACTTTTTTAACAAATAACTTATAAAAACAAATGTTACAAGAAAAATTAAAAACTCAGATTCGACAAGTATAAAATTATTGTTCGTTATTTAAAATTTTATTAAAATTTGATAAATTTGATATTATATTATTGAATTTATAAAGTTATAATTAATATGCCAACTTTTCTGACTCCGCCCTTAATTTAATAATAAAGTTAGTCGCAAGCATCAAAAACTTCTTATAACGAGTTTAGTAAAAGCATGCCGATTAAATCTTAAAAACTATTAAATTCCAAACAATTCTTAAGGTACGTGGAATAAGTAGTGAATATAGTGAAGTAACGTTTAATGACTAACTCGTAAAATATTTCTATGAAACATAAAGGAAGTTTACATTTTGGATTCCTTTTTCTATATCTAATCCACGGTAACCCTTTATCAGTAATCTGAGTTTAAATTTATACGTTCATCCTAAATACTTTTATTATGTCCCTCCCACCAAAAACGCCGGGCCAAGATTCACATAGTATCCAACCTCATTTATTCCAATAAAGTAATTCCTCTAATGAGACGTATTCTTGTGCAAGGTTAATAATCGACGGATACGGAACTTCAAATTACATCCTTTGATATCACATGCGTACCCCGCGTCGGAAATATTCAGACAGTCCGTTTCGGTCAATCCGAGATCACTTTCTCTAAAATCCATTCGTCTTGATGATTCTCCAACCTGATGAGCTGATCTAACAATCAATGGTTGCTTATGATCAAACTTATAATGGGAACTCAAGTCCATAAACCTTTCGAATCTCCGCTCGCACCCAATCTCTTTACACACATACGGATTCTTGATATTGTGCACATTAGTATAATGCCTTTTGAAACAATGCATTGATGAAAGACTTTTCTTGCATTCTGGAACTGTACATATGTACGATTTTCTGATGGCATGAGAAGTGTGATGTAACTTCAGCTTTTCGGCAGTCGCAAACGCTTTATCACAACTTGGGATGAAACATTTGTACGCATTTAATCTATGGTTCTCTCTATTTTGAACTTTGTGAGCAACATGATTTTCACCGTCGAATTTGGAGTTGGTTAGAGTGTGCGGTGAGGATGTTGAGATTTTAGTCCTCTTGTATGCCTTCAGCTTTACAGGATTTTCCGGTTCAATATAAACGAGCGGAATTTGCGTATGATATAGTTCTTGGTGCAGCTGTAGGGCAAGTTCGCTAGTAAACCTTTGAGCGCATGCAGACCGTAAGCATATGAATTCCTGTGTCGCCCTCTGATCGTAATCTTGAGAATGAATAGAGTTCCTTATTAGAGGGTGAAACAAAGTTATGATATTTGGTACACACTTGATACCTTGTTTTTCCTCGATAAAATCCTTGAAAAACTCGTCGTCCGAAATCGTCGACGAATCGTCTAGAGATAACATTACCCTACTGAGTTTCATAACACCAGGGTTGTAACCAAAAAAAAAAAAAAGAAAATTTTCGACCAACTACCGGAACTCGACTGTGAATAAATATATTTGTTAGGATCGTACCCTTCACTCGTCACTTTAGGAAAATAATTCGTGAACGCGTGATTATTAATAGTGCTTTAAATAAGAACACCTCAAACAGCGGTGACTCACCAGGCGAATCTGGACGCTCGTAAGTAGAATCGTAAGAATCATATTCGTCGTTGGTGTTAACACGGACAATTTCTTCATCCCCAAAAAATTTAAACAAATAAATAAAGTTTTGATTCTCGGCTATATTAAAAAAGGAGCATCAATTTCGAAAAGACGACAATTTACTCGAAGGACTTGAATAAATGTTATAAAATCCGTGAAACTTCATGGGCACAATTTTTTCAAGACAAAAGATTGTTAGTCGAGAGGTCTGTTGGTCAAAAAGTATGCACAAAAATAATCATGTGATGTTCATCGCGTCGCGTTACGTAATGCAGACCAGCATCACAACTTTTACGTAACCACAAATCTATGCGCCGATCAACTAAAAATTTGGTGATCTCGCACACATGCACATACCGATACAATAATCCCGAACTAATTTTAGTAATCGCATTCGTCGTGATGTTTTCCAGATTCGGCGTCAAAAACATCTGCCAGTTAGTTCAATGGATTTCTAACAAACCGATTGGATACCGATACCAGCATTTCTGGAAATCTAAATTCACACCTCCATTCCATCCCCGATTATTTCCCCTCTCACGCAGGATGCTCACTACCATGATCTCAGATCCTCGAATAAATACTGATCATTGTCCAGGCTGTGGAGCGAAATTTCAAACGCGAGATGATTCAAAGCCCGGGTTTTTAGTAATACCGAAGCTTGAGAAAAAAAATTCAATAACCAAGCCAGGGGAGTTAGGCACGGATGACATACAAAAATTGGTTAGATCTATGCCTGATGATATTCTCAAACAACTATATCCGATGGGTGTTACACCTGAATTAATACCCCCGGACAAAGTTAACGAAAAATCATATTCTCGTGAAAGCGCACCGATGAGTGGTAATCAAAGTAAAAAAAAAACGGACCACATAACAGGAGAGGAGGAAAGAATCTTTTGTCAACGGTGTTACAATTTACTTTACCACAATAAAGTTGTGACAGAAGAATGGCAAGAATCTTTAACATCCGATAGGTTGTTCTTGTCATTTTTGAAGAAAAAGGATGCTGTAGTGGTTACGGTCGTGGACATCTTTGATTTTCCGGGTACACTATTAAAGGGTCTCGATGATCTAATTGGTGTAGAGAATCCAACCATTTTGGTTGCCAATAAGATGGACCTTCTTCCCAAAGATGTCAATGAAACAAGGATTAAGAATTGGTTGAAGGTGAATAGTGAGAAACACGGTTTTCGCAACATCCACGACATCTTTCTCATTAGCGCTAAAAAAAATTGGCGAGTACAAGAATTGGCACAAGCAATATCCACAATACGCAGCGGATTTGATGATGTCTATCTGATCGGCTGCGCGAATGTTGGTAAATCCGAACTGATTAACAGCTTTCTGAGGAGTACAGTAGTTGGAGGGTGGAAATACGAAGTAACATCATCACCAATTCCAGGTACTACCGTGGGGATGTTGGGATTACCGTTGAAGATATTTGGTTCAACGTTCGGGCATAATCCAAAGGGGTTTCATTTTCCGCAAGGCAGTAGATACATATATGACACACCGGGAATTGTCAATGGAAAACAATTGATTCACTTGCTGACCGAAGAAGAATTGAAAATGGTAGTTCCTCAGAAGAACATTAAACCACGGACGTATAATATGTTCCCAGGTATTAATCATGATATTCACAAATACCAGAAGAATTATAAATAAATCATCTTTGTATATTTCCATGGATAGGAAAGTCACTGTTCCTCGGAGGTCTAGGAAGAATCGACTATGTGGATGGTGACAAACCGGTTCGCATGACTGTATTTAGTCGGTTAAAACCACACATCACTTCAATACGAAGGGCCGACGAGATATGTCAGTCGATGGCCGTGGGAGATAAAACATTTCTAGAGCCACCAACATTTTCAATAAAGAGAACACTACCATTTCCGCCAATGATCAAGAGCAAGAGAGGATATGTGTTAAAGGGTGTACCGGGAACAATGAGCAGCAAGGACGTGGTGTTCTCTGGAATTGGTTGGGCTTCATTTGGTGGAACTTTTAACCAGGCCTCAATTGACATTTGGTCGCCCAATGGAATTGGAATATACATCAGAGACAAATCATTGCTGCCGTTTGAGTTTAGGGGAATATTCAAGAAGTTACCTTGATGTCAACGTGAATTATTTATAGCATATTACTGTTGATCAAATCAAGAGGTCAATTCGACGCGACTCGTCGTTCTTAAGCAGAGCTTAATAACGCGATATGTATAGTGAATTTCCCTTTACCGATGCAACAACAATTTTTAATCCCAAAAAAAGACGAGAAATATCGCGTCAACCTACATGTTTTTTAATTTTCCTATTATAAAACAATACTGTATTTAAGACTTCACGCATGTAATGTGTGTCACGTGGCAATTAATTATCTGCATGAATCTGATAAGCGATCAGAATTTTTTTTTTTTTTTTATCGAATCAATAGTTACGAAATGTCAACAACATTCTGTCGAACTACAATACCTATCCTTTTAAAGAGTTCATCCCCATACAAAATTTTTTCCCTTCAAACTCGCCATTATACAGCTCGCAAACCCAAAAAACCTACGAAACTTTCAGCACCCATTTGGGACGAAAAGAAGCTTGACGATGGTAGTTTATTTATCTCTCGTGTGCCGCTAATTCCCCGAAAAATTACAGTGGATAAATTACCGCCACCATTGCGACCCGTCAAGGAACTACGGAAGCGTAAACACACTGAAGAGCAAAAGGAAGAAATGAGAAGATTACGATGGAAAAATCCGAAGAAGTATACCTGTTCTGCGCTGAGTAAAATGTTTGACTGTCCGTCAAATATGGTTGCTCGATTTGCACCATTGCCTCCGGAGAGAAAGGAGATCCTTAGAGCCAGGGAAGAATATGCTAAGAATAATATGGGATGGAAGAAGAAAGTGATTAGAACGGAGAGAGCCAGAAGGAGGGCCTTGTGGTGAGATATATAGGAATGAAGACCAGCACGAAAATTTGAAAAAATGTTTATTTTCGATTTTCTGCGCGTTAATAAAAAAATATTGCGATTAAACAAGCAGCAAATCAGCTTAAAAGATTTCCCTTAAAATGACAATTGTTTAATGTGATATAAAAAAAAAACAAACAAAAAAAATTTTTTTGTAACAAATCATAACACCTATTTTTTATAAATATGAGGTCGATCTTCCCAGGATCTAGTACACTATAAATTGGTCAGCCTACGCCGAAACTGAAACTGATTAAAGAAGTCATTATCTTAACTAGTCCTGTGGTGTTTAATCGTTTCTTAAATGAATTGTAATTTCTCATAATTTGACTTCGCATCATGCATTTTTGATTTTACCGACACACTTATATACTAGAGTCATGAAAAGTACAGTATAAATAAAATGATATCTGTCAATTTTTCTCACTGCACCTAAGGTATAGGTGACATCATTAATAAAATCCAATAGGTGTCACCTATATTACATTTTAACCATGATTGACAAGTTTCAATATAGAATTATTAATTTTATCAAACATCATAGTGGCATAAACAATTGATTATCCATTACTTGTCTTTATGAAATAAATAACATGACACAATCAATGTTCTAAAGCTGAGGACAGACAGATACATTATAAATAAGAATATAGTACAAAGTTGTATGCAAAACATAATTTAAACTATAACAACAATTTCACATGCATGAAATCCATATGAAATCTGAAAAAAGCCTAATCACGATTGCAAATGAAACCAGTAATTTACTCATATTTTGACATCCAAATACAGGTTCACATCAATCATCGTCCGAATAGCTCCTATCTCTACCTCTTCGACGTCCATTCATCAATTCCCTCAAATCTTGCAATACGTCATCAATATTATACCGATCATCAGGGTTCTCTTTCGACATCTCTAGCACCAATCCTGCTATGCCTTCATTAGCGATATCCTGTTTCACTCTTGCAAATTTCCCCTCCAACAATATCTTCAACTCATTAACATCATTATACATTAACCTCTTGGTAATCAAAAAGTAAAGTATTCCTGCAAGTGCAAAAATATCCATATTAAAATCAGCACTCAGTTCTTCATACCGTCGTAATACTTGCTCATCAACATTGCCGCGGGTGATCCCCAACAATTCGGGGGCAGTAAAGCCAATTGTAAATGGCTGTTGACTCTGATTTCGTGGATCTTCATCGTTATAGGACGGGCGTCGATGTTGCTGAGGGGGGTTTCCATAATTTTGAGCTAATTGAATGGGATTCCCTAATGCCCGAGAATGTTCAAAATCACAGATGCGAACTTTTATTTCCTTCCTATTCCCAACAGTCCTCTCCCCACAAATGATATTTGCTGGACACAGATCCATGTGCTAATAAATAAAACATCAATGTGATGCAATGCATTAAATCAATAAAACATATTTACCAACAAAAGAATAGAGATATTTACCACCACATCATAATCATGAATAAATTTAACGCCTTCACAAATGCCTTTTACTAGGCTTAAAATGTCTTCTCTATTCCGGCATAATTTCCTGTGTACTGAGTCCAAGCTAGGGCCATGATCTTTCGTAATAATTATTTGTTTATTAAGGTCCACGTCTACAAACTTCACTATAGCTTTCGAGTAAAGTTTCTCTAACCATCTGACTTCATTATGAAATGAAGTTTCATTGGTGATTTCCTTAATAAAGAACTCTCCGGGAGTATAAATATGCTTTCCTCGACTCACTTTATTCTGTAAAGGACCAGTGGTAATACTACGGCACCTCTGATGGGCAGATACAACCACGAATCTCTGACAGACGATTCGAGGCGTATCATTCCTAGTTCTACTAGTTCTCATAGAAGACATGGATATACTGGGGCTAATCGTATGAAATTGTGGTGATGTGTAACTAGGAAAGTTTGGTGTAATGGGAGGTTCGTTAGGCTCATTAGGCTCACTAGGCTCATACGGTTCATACGGTTCATAACCCTCTGGGGGGGAAACACCAGCTGAACCTGGAATCAATATATACATATACGTATGTTGGAATAAAATGCTGATTTGACATTATCGAACAGTAAGACTTACTTTCACCATCTTCAAAGGAAGGAGGTTCCACATTGGGAGGCTTTGTTTATAATGTTAACATTTATTATCTATCTCATTTTTGCAAACATCTGCTTATCTAAAAGATCATGCACTTACGCCGTCAAAGTCTGTAAGGGGTTGATCAAACAATTTTCTAGCAGTAACAAGACAGTGACAAGATATGTCAAAACTAATTTTTGCACACATCTCATTACCCGAATGTATTGTATGATCCTTAACTACGCAACAATAAAAGAATTACGAAAATAAGAATCGATTATAGCATTACTAATGCGATAGAGACATGTGTATATAAACCAAATTACCACTACACAATTCGCCATTCATCATCCTGCTCCAGATATCTTCGAATTGAAGTAAGAAAAAAATTGCGATACCCCTACCATCCCCATAATCAACTATAACTTTCAAAGAGGGGTTTTGTGTGCAAATTAAGGGCAATGCAACTTTCAATTCTTTGCCTTTACCGCCATTCTTGGTGGACCAATATGCTTTAGTGGAATGTGATTCGTCGTTTAACTTCAGTTTTAACCAACCCTCATTCCTCCCGTTAAGAAGTCGACTATCGATACATGGAAATTATTTTCAGATTACATAATATTAACATATGACGGTATGAAATGGTTAAAAACAACATACACTTTAACATTCTCTATGAGAATCATCCCAATTTTATCGTTCATTAACTCCGTATCACGAATCCTCGCCATACTATCACTTGGAACATCCTGGATAACGTACAGTTTAGATAAATTTATGTTTTAGCAAATAATATCAGTCTCGATAATAAAAACGTTTATAATTACCAGTGATAATAAGACGAGATTAAATGATATTTCTCCAGTATGTTTTCTGGTTGTACCAACTCTCAACGACACTATATGGAAGTAGTAATAATAAAGATTTGATAGGATAATAAATTGTTGAGCTTATAATGTTTAACACATACGATGATGTAAAATTTAAAGTATGAAGCTTTACACCTTTTCCGCTCAACTCAATAAGGCTAACTTTAGCACTGCCGAGATCTCCTTCCAACCCTGGTCTTCTGGCATCGTACACAAAAATTTCAAACTCTGTATGATTTCCGTCAATTTCGAAGATTATCTGTTCGCAACCAAATCTGCAAATCTGCTTTTCATGCGGAGCCAAACTAAAGCTAATGAATATATATCTATTTTATCTTTACTTTTCATTTTCATTAATAAACTTGAGACATTTTCTGAGACTTACACCTCAGCCTTCTCAGTAATCTTCCCCACACCGTTATATTGAAATAACAATTTGACCCTTTCTCCTTTTCCAATAAAGTTTGACTTTAAGTTTACCCCACCGTTTAACGAGCTATCATTAAAGCCAGGTTTATGAACAATTTATTGTTATTACCATTAATTGATTAGGAGAAAAATATGAATTTTCAGATCAGTAGAAGTTCTATCGTAAACATTATTTTCCAAATGACAGAATACCAGTCAATCTGCTCAACAATAAAGTATCCGACTTTCATGCTCATGACCGAGGGTTGTGAATGTATTTTTTCTAGAGGAACGCGAATGTCTGTGGTTATTGGGAATGTAAAATACCTCTTTTCACACTTCTAAGAGAAAGTAATAACAACTTGTAGAAAGATCTGGAGAAATGACATTATATTCGCTTCGTGTGTGTACACACACATGCGGAAAGTATTACATGATAATCTGTAAACATAACCACAAAGTCACGTTGTTTACAGGCCAACGCGTAGATTATTGGTCTACTTTTCTATAAATTCTACTTCCGCGTTCTCCGAAAGCTCAGCTCATACAAGGTCTTTGAGTTCTTTCTTTGACCTTTTAGTTACAAAGCTAAATATAATATCTATTTTCCGTATCGTTATTAAAATATTAATATTTGAAAATATTTTTTTTACTAATAAACGTTTTCTGCTAATATACTTTTTTTAATTAAAATATTTCTTATTTTAAAATTAAAAAATCCTAAATTTCCTATATCGAAAAAGAAGATTTTAATAGTCATGATTTTTATTTATTGATTTTTAAAATTTTGATCCCAGTAATTCTGCAAAAAATTATTTTATTAAAAAATTTTTTTTATACTTTTTATTATAAATAAATCTTAAATTAAAATTTTGAAAATTTTTAAAAAATAATCAGTACAATAAAATAAAATCTTTAATTAAAACCTATTTAAATTTGAAAATCTTTTTTTTTGTTTTTTTTTTAATTAAAATAAAGTTTATTATTTAAACTATTATAATTTATTTAAATTTCTTTAAATAAATTACAATTTATATATTAA